TGTACCCAGTCCAAGTTTTGGTCCCCATAATTCCAAGAAGACCGGACTGGGACCGGATCAATTCGGGCCAATTTAACCGGACCGGACCGTATCGCCACCCCTAATGCCGGGAAGGCATAAGAAGAAGCGACGAAGGGCCGCTCACGAGTTGGAAATGAGACCTCAGCGGAATGGGGTTGGCGAGGAGGTAACTAGAAGGGGGAGTATCATACATTGCAAGAAATGTGGTGGTGAGGGGCATAACTCGAGGGGCTGTAAAGCTACAGCAGCTGAGATTCAGGTATGCATGAGTTTGATTGGTACATGAATATTTTACAATTAATTGATTTCTTACTAACATTGGGCCATTCTACTTTTCAGGCTAACACTCGGAATGAAGCAGGAAGTGCTCGAACAACACCAAGAAGGGCTTCTCGCACTAGTGGAGGAAACACTGCTGCCCCTACTGTTCCAGCTGGAAACAACGCTACTGCCCCAACTGTCCCCGACACAAGGAGGAAGCGATTTCTTCATTGCTCTAAGTGTCAATCAGCGACCCATAATGCGAGAACCTGCCCCCTCAACCGAGGAAATGGAATACAGGTAAGAAAACAATAACGAATACAAGTATCTCTTATTGAATGTTAGGATAATTTGAATGTTGTGTGGAATAATGTGTGGTCATTTCAATTCTAGGATGTTGTGTTGAATGTGGGAGATCGAAGGACTATTGAGCGTGAGATGCGAGTTGCAACAAGAGGGATAGGGGTGTATGTAAGTGAGGCATTTGGGAATCAGTACATGAGGGTAAGATTGAGTTATGCTCTTTCTTTGGAATGATGGTTAATACCCCATTGTTGTGAGTTTTTGCTAACTTCATGATCTGTTTCAGTTGAATGGATCACGGGGTCGTCCTGCTGGAGGTACTCAGCCAACTGAGATGGATGCCCAAGGAAGCCAGCCGCCTCCGACACAACCTTAGATGCCAAAGTCACCATGAGTCACATTTTTGCTTACAATGCGTGTTATGGATGCACTATGTGGAGTTTTTTTTTGTTATGTGACTCGTGGTCTATGTCCACCTAGTCCACCTTTCGGAGTAGTTTTAGTAGCTGGATGTTAGGATGGCAAACATTGGATGTAATGGAAATTCTGAATGTTAGTAGATGGATGTTAGGATGACAAACATTGGATGTAATGAAAATTCTGAATGTTAGTAGATGGATGTTAGGACGGTAGAAAATGGATGTAATTTATGGTATCTCCTTTGGTTGTTAAGTCATGCCTTGTTAAACAGATGCATCAGGTTATGAATGTTAAGGTTTGCCAATTCAATACATAACACTAACACTAACTTGCCAATTCAATTCATAACACTAACTTGCCAATTCAATTCATAAACACTGCATAGCTTGCGAGAAACACATTACTTGTCATAACAATACATAACACTAACTTAGAACACATCATCCTAAATCATACTGCTGCGATTGGCCAACACTACGGAAAGTAATACTACATTCAACAAAATAACAACGACGAACATATGCCGAATGACACGAACATCATTGTTAACCTTCCTCAGCTCTTGGACGATAATTTTTCTCTCCTTCTTCCTCCTCTCTGCCTTAGCCCCAGACAACCGTAAATTCTCTTGTAGATTAAGAATTGTACTGTCTATGCCAGAGTTCCTTGCATCGACTTCATCCACCGCCCCATCCACCCGCCTAAAAAATTTGCAGTTCTTTTTTGGTTCCTGCATCAACAGAGTGTATGGTCACAACTCTCAAACATACACAACTGGAAAATGAAGATTCTCGCAACCTCCTTTACCATCCAAAACTTGCATCCGTAGAATCTCCTTCCTGATTTGGACTCAGTACCGGCTCTATTAGTCACAGCAGGAACATTGTGGTAGCAACAGACTAGCCCAATGCTGTTCTCGCTTCTGGAAGATGACCCACCCCGGTGAGACATGACGAAGACGAGGACGCCGCGGAACGAGGAGAAGGGGTCTTCGCGGATCTGCGGCGGTCGTGGGTGGCGAGTAACGGTGAAGACGAGGAAGGGGTCGTCGTTCACTGAAAAGGAAAGGCTGGGTCGGCGCGAAAGGAAAGGGAGGCGTCGTCGCGGGGGTCTTCGTTCGCTGAAAAGGAGAGGCTGGGTCGGCGCGAAAGGAAAGGGAGGTGGCGGGGGGGGGGGGGGGGTCTTCGTTCGCTGAAAAGGAGAGGCTGGGTCGGCGCGAAAGGAAAGGGAGGCGGCGGAGCGGGGGACGTCGTCGAGTTCGAGTGCGGCGGAGCGGGGGAAGTCGTCGATGAGTGCGACGGGGCTGCTTCAATCGGCTGAGCTTGGTTCGTCGAGAAGAGTAGCTGCTGGGAAACCCTAAATGGGTTTGAATTGGGGAAATGAAAGAATAAAATGACAGATTTTTTTTTACCCATTAAAAATGACGTGGCATCCCACCTGTCAATAGATGCTGAGGTGGGAAGGAAACACACGGTGAGGTGGCAGCCACATCATCTGTCCGTTAAATAGACTAACGGTGTCATTGACGCCGTCAAACTATTTAACGGAAATAGCTATATTTGTCATCGAACTTTCAAAATTCTAGCTATTTCTGGTATTTCGCTAAAAGTGGCTATATTTGTCACAACATTCAAAATTTATATTTGTCACAACCATCAAAATTTTGGATATGCAAGTGAATTTGGCCTATTCACAGAAAACAAATGCGAACAATTATAAAAGTTTGGGCGCGTGGGAAATAACAACCCTCTAAATTTTAAACCGAAAGCTAGCTAGCTAGCCTTGACTCTTGGATTAGCAAAATCGTCATCCCTGAAATGCAGTCCGAGCATCTCAAGGTAGCGAAAGATGAAGACATTCATGGTTTCTGTATTCTAGTCTAGCATTCAGTTTTTGACTTGTAGTAGTTGGCCACTACGTAGTCGATAGAGAAGTAGTCTTGGCCGGCCGGCCGGCCGGCATAATGACCACAAACCCCCAATTGGAGTGTGACAATTGAAAATTTAGCATAACGATATTAATGTAGATCACATCAGTATATATATGGTATAGCTAGAAAGAGACCTGAGAGCTATATATATGTATAATCCAATTGCAGCATTAATTAGCTCTAGCTAGGCAGCATAATAAGTATATTATTATTATAATTATATTATTATACATCCATCCAAATTAAACTCGATTGAGGCCCGGCCCGGCCGGTCCACACCACAATGGCTCTGCAGCAGGCAATGGTGGGCACAGCAGCAAAAGAGAAGATAGAGAAGCTGTTTGAGAAAGGCAATGATCGTGTTTCAGCCTCGGCGTACGACACCGCATGGGTGGCAATGGTTCCATCTCCCAACAACAAGCCGTCGTCCCCGCAGTTCCCCGGGTGCCTCAACTGGATACTTGTTGACACCTAAAATTAATTCGGCCGGAATTAAATACCGTATTAATTAGTCTCGGCATTTAAGTCGATACCGCGGGTAAAAACGGTGTCGTAGGGAGTCGAGCGGTGTCGCGGGAAACAAAAAATGGTACCGCGAGTAAGCCCAGCGGTACCGCAACACTGGAAACGACACCGCTTGTCGAAAATAAAAAAGGGTCGTGCGTTTAATGGGGTTGGAGGAGGAGTTTTGATTATTTGATTATTATTTTTTATTCCTTGGGAGAAGCAGCACCGCGGGGAGTTAAAACGGTACCGCAAGGAAGCTCAGCGGTACCGCGGTACTGGAAACGATACCGAAAATCAAAAGGGGGCCGCGCGGTTAGTAGGGTATTGGAAAAGGAGTTTTGTTTATAATTAATTATTGTTATTTTTATTCCTTGTTGGATGGGGAGAAGCGGTACCGCGGAGAGCTAAAACGGTGTCGCGGAATTAAAAACAGTACCGCAAGGAAGCTCAGCGGTACCACGACACAGAAAACGACACCGCCGGAAAATAAGAACGTGCGTTTTGGTATTGGTGTTGGAAAAGGAGTTTATTATTATTATTATTATTATTATTATTATTATTATTATTGTTATTATTGTTATTCCTTGTGGGAAGGGGAGAAGCGGTACCGCATGGAGACAAGCGGCACCGCGGAGAGTTAAAACAGTACCGCGGATTTAAAAACGGTGTCGCGAGAGCCTGGTAAGCGGTACCGATTAATTAAAAATCATATCGGGCAAGTGACCAAAATTCACCCGGCCCAATGCGAGCGCCGACTGCGGCGGTTCCATGGATTAATATTTTTTGGCTATATCGGCGGTGTCGTTTAATTCAAAACGGTACCGCGAGTAAGCTCAACGGTACCGCGGATTAGCAAAAGACAGTGTTTAAATAAAAAAACAATGTCGCAAAAGAAGAAAACAAACGGAGCTGGTTGGGAAAGAAAACGACACCGCAAGACTGGAAGCGGAGTCGTTTAATATTAAAACGATGTCGTGGGTAGAATCAAGCGGAGCTGTTTGGGAAAGGAAACGACATCGCGGGATCATGAAACAATTCACGTAAAGTTCACGCGAAGCAGTTTGAGGAGCGAAACGGTTGAGACACGCAGGATTTCACAACGGGCAGTTGAGGAAGCGGTTCCACCGAGCGTGAAGACTACGAAGCAGTTTTTCGAATAAAAGCAGTGGAGCAAGGAGAGAGAAGGGACAACCAAATCAACACAGAACAACTCTGTCAAACTTATCTTTTTCTCTGTATCTCCTTCGCGGAGCTCTCCTTTCAGGAAGGATCTCCATAGTCATAGTCGTAGCGTAGTCGCGGAGCTCTCCACAGGAATCTCCATAGGAGTAGTCGTAACGTAGATTCCTCAAAAACTCAAACACCCTCGTTCGAACGTAGTTTGGAGAGGTGTGAACCGTAGTCACAGTCGTCTTGATTAGAAGTCAGTGGCGCATTAATTCGATCAAATCAACATCGTCGTTTGGCACGCCGGCGGTGGTATTTGGTTAGAAAATAGTGGTGCATCCATTCAATCGGCACTGCAGGAGTTTCCACCGCGAAACATCAAATCAACATCGCCGGGAACGAATTCGGCACCGGCGATGGCATTTGGTTTTTCCGGGAAACAATACTCCACAACCAGCACAAGGACGGCTCTTGGGGGATTCACCCTAATTTGCTCCGGAAGGACGCACTCTCCTCCACTTTAGCTTGCGTCCTCGCCCTCAAGCGCTGGGGCATTGGTAACCAACATGTCCACAATGGTACGTCTCGTAGCGTAATAATTAATCATTGTGATAAATGAATGAGAAAGAATCTTTGATTGATCGATTTACTCATCAGCGCTCGGATTTATGGAGCGGCAGTCGGGTTGTCTGCGGGATTCGAGCCAGCAAAACCCCGTCGGGTTCGACGTGATATTCCCGGCAATGGTTGAGGCCGCTGCCGTGGATTTCGATCTCAGTCTCCCACTGGACGCCGGAGTCGTAGACCCTATGCTTCGGAAAAGGGACGACTGGTTGCGAATGATGATGACGACTTCTTCTTCGCGTTCCAAGGGACACAACGCCTACCTGGCGTACATCTCGGAAGGGATGGGGAATTCCCGACGCCACTGGCAGACTGCGCTCAGCTTCCGGAGGAACAACGGCTCTATTCTCAACTCGCCCTCCGCAACCGCCGCCGCCTTCATTCACCTCCGCGATTCCAACTCCCTCGATTATCTTGCATCAATATTTGATGATGATCATCTCCTTCTCCCCGCCGCCGGAGTCGCAGCAGGTCTGGTCTAGTTTTCGTAACAAGAATTTTCTATTGAAAATATTGCAATAGAAAATTGATTTCGTAGTTGATGTTATTTTTGGTCTTTAATATTGACTTCCTAGCTCCATTTAGTAATGATTAGGAGAGACTTATATGTCGCCTTACTCCATTGACGTGTTCCAGTATCTAATTAGGCGCGAAATTCCTAGCGAGGCGTTTTGCCATTGCCTTGTGCCTATGCGTGCCTAAGCGTAAGGTTAAGCGTGCCTTTTTTAACCATGCTAAAAACACTTAAAACTATTTCACCTTCTTGAAGGTGAAGTACTTCTTAAAAAGAACTTGTTTCTTAAACTTTAACAATAACTCATAAACGTAAAGCTTCAAAGTAAGAAATAAACTCGTACACAATCACTTCAAATCATAGCTCAACTGAAGCACATATCATCAAACATAATAATGCATTCTCAAACATGAATCAAATACTGCGCATATATTACGTAAATCAGTACTTGAAAACAGCCGTAAGGCGTAGAATTTACCCCCTTTAGACTCACCTTACTTCCGTCGGAACCGGCTATGATTTTGCTCCAGCGCTTCCATGCTTGATTCCAAAATATTATCCTTATTATTGTAATATCCGCACTTCATGCAATCTCCTATGACTAAGCATTAAGCAGGTAGCTCTCAGGCGTGGAAGCATCTGGGACGTCCACACTTTCATCCATCCAAGGAGGGCGGAGATGGCAATAACAATGAGACGAGCTTGCTTAAGCAAGCAGCTCTCGTAGTGAAGAGAAAAAGCAGTCCGAGGATGATACTTCGGCCATCGGTTCGTCTGGTGCCTCCTTCCAGCTCTTGCCTGCTTCCCGTGACCCTTCCATGTCCGCCTTGGCACGACTAGGTACCCACCAGAGCGAGCAAGCTGATCTCGCAGTAGCATGATCCTTTCCCGTCCGCCTTGGCATGAGCAGGTACCCGCCAGAGCGAGCAAGCTGCTCTCGTAGTAGCATTGGTACCGACACCTGCCCCCACGTATCTCGTACATGGAAGGGAGCAGGGGATGCGATTCGTCCCCGTCTCGGAAACCTTGTCAATTATCTCGTGCGGAGTAAGCAAGCACCGTGGAGGTCACCGGTTTGGAGGGCCCGTCTTCGCCAGAGGATCTGTTGATGGCGCCGCTGTTGCTTTGATTTCTCGAGAGGCTGTCTACGGAGGAAGAACAAGTTGACGGTTGGATTAGGACCGACCGGAGTAGAAGGACAATAAGAGAGACGAGTACAACAAGATGAACCTGAACCTGGGGCAGAATCCACCTCCGAACCAGGGGCAACTCCATCTAGGGATGCCTCTGCAGATTCTCCCATTGAATCAGGTTCTGCCTAACAACGACATCCCCCAAGCAGAGGATGCCCACCATCAGCCACCTCCAGAAGGGCACACTATGGAGTACTTCTACACTCCACGGATCGTAGAGATCCTCCTAGTCATCCAGTATCATTCCAGGTCCTAGTACGTATGGAAGGGTCGAGGTCAAATTTTGGGATAATTGGAGGTCAAAAAGCACAAAAACCAAAGAAAAGTCCGAAGACCGTGACAATTTCCCTTAATAGTGAAGTGAAGGTGATAACGTCGTATTTGCACATGTTTGCACACTCGTTCTTGATAGTTTTGGCTTGAGTTTGTACTTTCTTGGCCTATTTTATGCTAGGTTATGTTCATTTATCACATTTCAGATCCTAGCACATAAAGTGAAGCATAGGCGCAAGTTTCAAGTCAATCGGAGATCAATTGGAGACTCGGGGGTAGAAACTCGGGAATGACTTGAGGAAGAATGGATTTCAACCTCATTTTATTCCAAATAATCATGTAGGCTTGTCATGAAAAGAAAAAGGATGAGACTACGAGCATCTTGGATATGGTGCCGCACCTGAATTAGAGGTCAAATGAGCTCAAACGAGCACAACGAAGCTTAGGAGTGCATGATGGAAATTGTGCATGGTTGTGGAATATTGTGCACGGCCGTGTGAGTTTTCCAGGAGGTTTGCACGGCCGTGCAAGTTGGGGTGCGAATCTCAGCGGGTATAAAAGCTGTTTTGCGATCCCCGTCCGCTTCAGTTTTTATTTTATTTTATGCACTTATCCGTTTATAAAACATTTCGAGGGGGCACCTTAATCCCAAAAACCCTTTTTTTTTATCAAAAAACAAAGTCCTCACTATCTGACTAATAGGATTCAAAAGGCATACGAGAGAATACGATCTCGGTCACCTGGTTGGTAACTTTGACTTTCTTATTTAAAGGGGATGTGGATTTTGCTCTTCTCTTTGCTTGTATTTTATTTACTTTGTTTTGTTTATTTTGAGTCTTTAGGGTGTTTGTTTATTTTGTTTGGTTAGCATCTTTTGTTTGAGTCATTTCGCCTTCTTCTCATTTATGTTAAGTTTCTATTCTTTTCCTTCTTCTTTTCTCATCAATTTTTATTTTACAAGTTATAGGTAGAAGTTAAGATCATAAAAAAACCACTGATGACACCCAAAATGGTGTTATGTAGCCCTTATAATTTCAAGTCTTTTTAGGTAATTTCATGGTCTCAATAGTTAAAATTCATTAAATGTGTCTTGATAGACCTCTACTTGAGCATGTTTTGGGCCACTATTATTGAACCAATTTAGAGTCGATTCTCTTGTTTTAAGCCGATTTCATGCTAGGTTGTGCTTTTATATCATATTTTAGGACTTGGAGCAAAAAGGGAGGTTTGGAAGCGAGTTTCAGGGAGTTGGGGACAAGGAGGAGCTGGAAAGGAAAATACCCGGTCAGGTCACCCAAATACCCGACCGGGTATAATCAGTAACCGACCAGGCATATGCAGCGAGAGAGCCCAGGAGAAGCAGAAGGCCTCCCGGTCGAGAGCCCTAAATACCCGACTAGGTATTTTTACCCTAGGTCGGGTATTCCTCTTCGATTGTTGCGCACCGTTTCCATAGTACCCGGCCGGTTTCCATAATACCCGAATGGGTATTTGGACCAGGTTTCGGGCAGGAAGGCTGTTTGAAGGCAATTCTGAGTTCTTTGTCTATCATCCAAGTTTTAGAGCAAGAATGTGAAACCTGGAGAGAGAGAGAGAGAGAGAGAGAGAGAGAGAGAGAGAGAGAGAGACGAACTAAACCTCCAAGGTGACCTAGATCGCGTTTTGAGGCCATTGGAGCTCGATTGAAGCCTGGAGAAGTGTCGATTGACAACCAGAAGCTGATTTTGATCCTCCACAAGATGATTTCTGCATCTGAAGCTGATTTCTCTTCCCACTCTATAGAGTAAACTCCCTCTCCCACTAGATATGAAGAACCCTAGATTTGTATGTTATGTTTGGTTATATGAACCCAAATACATGATCTTTTGACATTTTGATTTCGGGCATAGTTGTACACTTTTTATCCCCGTTTCTCTTTGACGTTTGTCGCAATTAAACTCCAAAAGGGGTGGTTTTACGCGAGGTTTCTTGTGTTTCAGTTTGCTTCAGATCCTAACAGGTGAAACCAACCCCGGAGTCGATAGTTGGAAGAAAAGGAGCAAAGACAGGGCAAAGAGGAGGAGACAACCTGTGTTCATGGTCTGCCATTGGAGTTTACGGTCTTGTAGGACCGTGAACCAAGGGACGTCCGAAGAGGGTTTTGAGGTTACTGACGCCAAGGCTGTTCACGGTCGCTAAGACCGTGAAATGCAACCACAAGTCGTGAACCCAAGAAGTGAAGCGGTGCGTTTTGGTTCAGTACGTTGTGTTCACAGACGTGTTTTGATGTTCATGGCCGTGAACTCAAGCCGTGAACTGGGCTCGATCTCAGTATAAAGAGCCAGCTGAAAGGAAGAAGAAAGAGGAGAGACCTAGTGTGAGAAACTTCTTCTTCTTCATATTTTAGAGTGAGAAAGTGACGAACCGAAGAACAAGAGAAGCTAGGGTTTCATCTCCAAGCAAGCATTTGGAAATTCCTTCCCCAAAGGAGGATCTCTTCAACACAAGGAGCAATGCTAGCATATTCTTGATGGTTTCCCTTTTTCTCTCTTGTGTTTATCCTTCTTCTAGCATGGAGTAGTCTCTTCTTTCACTTGGGTGTTTGCAAACCCTAGCTACAATTATGTGAATGCTTGTAGGAATTGAATGATTTTGTGTGTGGTTGTGTTTAATGTGAGTGTGGAGGTATTATTATTCATGAATGATTGTGTTGTGTGAAAGCCTATCAATCTAATTGCCATTCTAACCTAGGTAGAGAGAAAACCCCCTTTCTTTCTTTGATAGAGGCTTGAATGATTGGTTTTCTTGGGTAATACGTTGCCTCCTAGTTAGGTTAATGCAGGGCAAACCTCCTATTTCGTATTAGCACTTAGGGTTTGGTTGTGGGTGGCCGTCCGAATTCCAATTCGAGGATGAAATCTAACCATTCCTTAGTCAATAGGTTGAGAGGGCCGCATTAGTGGCTTGGATCGTATCCCATTTCCTCGACCTAGAGACTAAGAGAGTAGCATTGGATACTTGTTAGACTTCCTTGTGCTTTATAACCCCCTAACCACACATGGTCATTCGATCCTTCAAGTCGTAATTGTTAACTAGAGGGAGCAACACCCGGGTGAAGCCTTCTCAATTAGTGTCAAATCTATTTTACATTTTCAAAGTAATTTAGCTTTAGACCTTTGTTTTCACCAAAACTAATTCGCTAGATAATATTTCAAACAGTCAAAGTAGCGGTACATGGGCCGACTTGGGCGATATTTAAACATACTTGCCGTATATTGCACCCACTTAATGTTTATACTTGGACCTTTGGTGGGATTTTATTGTGATAGTCAGAGCGATTTAAGTTTTTGGCGCCGGTGACCTTCGGTCCGTTATCGTGAAAATTTTGTTGGAGTTAATCTAGCTTTTAATTTATGTTTTGTTAAGTGTTAAGTGTTTGCTTGTGCTACACGTGTTGTGTTCTTTAATTGTGTGTAGGGAGGTGCATGACCCGGATCAATCCGACGCCTTTAACACCACTGGA